AGTCTCACCAGGTCCAGAAAATCGGTTTTGTTTAAACCTTCCACTCACTCTTTTTTCTTCCACTATAAGCGGCAATACCACTACATCTACGTTTATTGGATGAGTTTTTTGAGATTTCACTTGTTTCTTGCAGCAAATTTACCAAAAAATCGCGCTGGAGAAGAGATATTCAAGAGAGAGAAGAAGAAAAACTCGAAGAGAGAGAATGCGATGTATGGCGGGAGACAACGATAAAGAGGAGAGAGAAAATGAGTAAAAAGTAGATCTATATTTTATTTATTTTAGTATATTATAATATTATATAAATAAAGGAAGGGTATTATAGGGATTCTACATTTATAAGGGTATATCTGATATTGCCGTTTTTTTGTTACTGTGCGAGGGTATGGGCTGTAAGTGAAATCGACATTTAAGGGTATTTTTGCAATTGCCCCGATTGAAAGATATCGATTTGGTCACAGAAAAAAAATGGTGGGGAAATTGATGTCGATGTTAACAAAATTTTAAAACTTTTGGGATGATTCTTCGTGGGTTTGGGGGAAATTACCGATTTTCAAGTCGACGTTGAATTCCGAATTTGTGGGTCTCCTGCTGTTACGTCTGGATGCTGGGTCTTGGGCTTAAATCCTTTCCGAAATCAATTGGAATTGGGAAATTCGCTAGGATTTCTGATTACTCCGGGTTTTAGTCAAGGTGGATATATATATATCTAAGGCGCTGTTCCTCTACAGATTTGCTGGCGAATTTACAGGGAAGAGCTTTGATCTGGTTAAACCCTTGAATGGGTCAGCTGCCTTTCTAAATTTAACTTGGTTAGGGATTCTGTGGTGGAAATTTCTGGTTTTTCCATGGCGAGGATGAGCTCGAGCTTGACTGAGAGCTTCGCTAATGATGGCAAGCTTCTTCTCTGCGTGGCCGAGAATGGCCGTTCTTTTGAACTTGAATGCAGTGAAGATACTCCAGTTGAAGCTGTCATGCGTTTTGTCGAGTCTATTTCTGGCATTACCTTCAACGATCAGCTTCTTCTCTCTTTGGACATGAAACTTGAACCTCAAAAGCTGCTGTCGGCTTACAGATTCCCTGCGAGTCGAGAAGTGTTTATTTTCAACAAGGCAAGGCTACAGACCAACTCTCTTCCACCGCCACTGGAAGAAGTTGATGTACAGGAGGAAGTTCCAGTCCCTTTACCACCGGCTTCATTACAGGATCATCACCCTTTGGACGATGCATCAGATCCAGCTTTAAAGGCTTTACCTTCATACGAGAGGCTATTTCGGTCTCATTTCCACAAAGGCTATGCCATCTACAATTCTACTTTTATGAAGTATGAGGCTTGTGAGAAGTTAATCAGGGAGCAAAAGGTGCAAGAGCGAGCTGTGGTAGTTGCTACACAAAATCTGGACCTATACTACCGGGTGGTCTATCAGAGCTTTCTTGAATTCATGAAGCTGTATACGCGTCAACACTGTCTCCACTCTGATCTGCTGATGAATTTCGGAAGGGATATCGAGAGATTGAGGGCATTTAAGCTCCATCCCGCTTTACAGACTGATTCCAGGCAATGCTTATGTGACTACATTAAGGAAAGTAGTCTCAAGAAGGGCGCAGAGAATTGTGGTAGCTCTCATAGCCAATTTGAGAATAAGGTTGCACAGTTCCGGCAGATGTTTGTCGAGTTTAAGAGCAATGCTGAAGAGTTGTTTTCTTGCAGGGAATCTTTGTCGACTAAGAATTTAGAAGTGGCCTTTAAGGATCGTAAACGATTCATCAATGAGCAGAAGAGCATCATGCAGTCTCTCAGGTATGTTCATTCATGTCCTGAGCTTCAAATGCTTTTATGATCGAGACATTCTACTACTTCTGTCTATTCTTGCATCTTGGCTTCTATGGAAAAGAGTTTGCAAAATAATATAGTTTAAAATCAGTCACTAACCATGCAAATGATGTAAATTCATTGCACCCGGCGAGAGATTCCCATAGAACTTCTTAAAAATAAATACTTTCTTGTTCAAGTAATGTTTTTTTTTATAGTTTCTGTTTGGACTTCTGTATTTCATGCTCTATACTTGTTTGGTGATCATTTAGTTCAGATGAAGCCATTCACTTCATGAAGTTGCTGCAAATTCATTGAACTAATAAATTTGTGTGAATCTCATCACAGTAAAGATGTCAATACAGTGACAAAACTTGTGGATGATTGTCTGTCTTGCCCATTGTCCTCATCAATCCGTCCCCACGATGCCGTTTCAGCTCTGGGTCCTATGTACGAAATCCATGACAAGAATCACCTTCCAAAAATGCAGGCTTGTCATAACTCCATTTCAGAACTGCTAGATTTCTGCAAGAACGGGAAGAACCAGATGAACAACTTTGTTCACAGTTACATGCAAAAAATAACATATGCCACATATATCATCAAAGATGCTAAGTTACGATTTCCTGTATTTAGAGAGGCAATAATGCGCCAAGATGACTTGTTTGCGGATTTGAAATTAGTTCGTGGGATAGGCCCTGCTTATAGGGCTTGCCTCGCGGAAGTTGTGAGAAGAAAAGCTTCTATGAAGCTGTACATGGGCATGGCAGGACAGCTGGCTGAGAGGCTTGCAATGAAGAGAGAGACGGAGATAAGGAGACGAGAAGAGTTTCTTAAAACCCACGGTCCATATGTACCTCATGATGTACTGGCCTTGATGGGGCTATATGATACACCTACCCAATGTGATGTCAATATCGCTCCTTATGATACCGGTTTGCTAAATATTGACATCACAGACATTGACCGTTATGCTCCCGAGTGTCTAGCTGGTTTACACTCAAAGCTTACATCTTCAAGGAGTTCACTGGCCATCTCCAGTGAGAGCTTGCTTTCGGGTGGGCCTGAGGAGATAGCTATCAACACTTTGGACAAAGATAATTATGATGAAATCTTAGAGGCCTGCGAATTAGTAGACATAGCTGGAACCAGCAAAATGGAGGTTGAGAATGCGAAACTGAAAGCTGACCTCGCTTCTGCCATAGCCCGGATTTGTTCACTATGCCCAGAAGTGGAATATGAGGAACTTGATGACACTGAACTAGAAACTTTGTTGAAGAATGCTTCTGAGAAGACGGCAGAGGCATTGAAGGCCAAAGATGACTATGAAAAATATCTCCTATATATGCTCAAGGAAAAGGAAATGAACTGTGCTTCATATGAGAAGCGTATCCTTCAACTGGAAGAACGTCTCTCCGAGGAATACTTACAGGGGCAGAGACATATTAATGATAAGGATGTGTCTGGCTCAGTCCTTTCGCATGCACAAGATAACGAATATAAAGCAGAAACATCAGGTGACACAGAAGCAAACATAACTGATGTATCTGCTGCAGAACCCATGGATGAGATCTCATGTGTTTCGAATCTTTCAAACAAACAGCAGTGTAAAGCTCAAGAGGGTACGGATGAGAATATGGTGGATTCGTCGTCCGTGCTCAATCATCAGTGTGACTCTTCAATGCTGGAACCACAGCTAAACCTAAACAGTGGGAAAGGTGGAAAGGATAATGTGGTTACACAATTGGGTGTGTCTCTAGGTAGCAACTTCACCGCTGAAAGCTTACCAAAACCTCTGAATGCCGGTTATAGTGTGGCAACTGAGCCAGGATTGGATCCCCAATTTAGTGATGATATTGTGTTGGAACTTAGAAATGATCTGATAGACAAGTCCAACAAGTTGAGTGAAATGGAATCCAAGCTTAAAGATGCTATGGAAGAGGTTGCCACACTAAGTAGAGAGTTGGAAATGAGTCAGAAGCTTCTCGACCAATCCCAGGTGTGGCAGTTTTCTCATATTGTATTGCCTCTTTTAACTATATTCGACTCTGGTATTTATTCACTGGCTGGGCAAGCAAGTCTGCACTTTCTTATATATTCTTTGTTTACCGTTTTCTCGTCTTTGTTCCGTGATGCTGGTGTTAGCATAAAATCTTGATGTCTATTTTTTTGGTGTCCCTGGTTTTGGTATTAGCTCTATTTTCATTGATCTTTAACACCTTGTGATGCTTAGTATGAATTATATGGACAATGAATATGCAATATGGTTTCCCGTTGGATTGATCCTTTTTCAGATATCCCGTCGTTTACCTGGTTGATCAATCATTCAGATTGTCCCAGTAACTGGTTTTCTTTTGTTTGGGGGGGCTTCAAATGGAGGATTATATAGCCATGAAAAGCATATTTCTGCTTCTTCTTTTTTTTTTTTTGCATTATCAAATGAACTTGTAGACCTTGCACAAAAGCACAGGGTTTTTTCTCCTGTTTGATTTCTTCATCGCATATACAGAGTGAATCTATCATTTACTGTGATAAAATATTGCTTTCTTGGTTTGTAGATGAATTGTGCTGACTTGGAGAATCGCTTACACGAGGCAAGAGAAGAAGCTCAGACCCATCTTTGTGCTGCTGACCGTAGAGCTTCAGAGTATAGTACCCTCCGTGCTTCAGCTGTGAAGATTCACAGTCTCTTGGAAAGATTCCGGAACTCTGTCTGTACAGCTGGTGGGGTTGCTCGTTTCGACGAGTCCCTGAGTACTTTAGCTCAATCTTTGGCTAAGTAAGTAAGTTCCTTTATGCACGTTCTGTTTGGTGATGATTAATGTATTGTCATGCCCCAGAAGAATTCTCTTTGTTAAGCTCTTGCAAAAATGAGTGATGAAGAACCAGATTTGTATTTCTTGCATTTGGGGAATTTTACAGTTCAGACAATGATAACAAAGACGATGGCAATGCTGAGTTCAGAAAGTGCATCCGGGTACTGGCAGACAAGGTTAGCTTCCTGTCTAGGCACCGGGAAGAATTACTTGAGAAGGGTCGAAAGCTTGAAGCTGCAAATGAACAGCTCATGAAGGACCTAGAAGAAAAGACAGACCTTGTGAATACATTTTATACAGAACATCAACTCGGGAAGCAGGTATGAATCTAATGTTTGTCTTGAATTCTCCTGTTATTCCTGACGAAATGACAGTTATTTCGGTTATAGAATTACAGTTACCATATTTCTGATGAACATGTCACAGGCAAATAAGGAAAAGATAGCATTTGGTCAGCCCCAAGTCCATGAGATTGCAGCATTTGTACTAAACGGAAAAGGGCATTACGAGGCCATCACCAGGAACTGCTCTAACTATTACTTATCCTCTGAATCCGTGGCACTGTTCACAGATCATCTTCCAGCTCGACCTGCATACATAGTTGGTCAGATTGTTCACATTGAGCGTCAACCCGTGAATCTCCCGCCATCTTCAGCAGCAATTTCAACCAGTCCCGAGGCAGGAAAGACCGATCAAATAGATCAGATCGTCTCTGACAATGGCCCGGGTTACATGGCATCATCTACAACATCAAACCCTTATGGTCTCTCTCTAGGATGTGAATACTTCATAGTGACCATAGCTATGCTTCCTGACGCTGCCATTCATCAACTTGCTTCCTGATTCTTTAAATTCTTTAATTCAAAAAAAAAGAGATAAAAGAAAACATCTGATCACTGATCTGCTTTAGTCTTTATCCCTGTACATTTTACTTGCTCTGCTCTCTTTCTACTGTAAATGAGAAACAAGAAAAAGAGAAATATTTGTCTCTTTATGGAACAAGGAAATGTAAAATTATTCATATTATTTGAGGGGAAAACATGGAAATGCACTATAAGGATTCATCATCAAGGCCTATATTCTCCAAACCCTCTGTGCATCTTTTAGGTTTAAATGCGAATAGCAATAAACATGATTTACATTGAGCACAAACAAACTACATCTCAGATCCTACACTTAGCCATAATCTGAGAATAAAACGCTACCTACTGTGTCCATCACCATCATCTTCTGCAATGAAGGACAAGAACTGTGGGAGAGATGCAATCCTCGGAAGCTGTAATAGAATTTCGTTGTATGAATCTATCCTTTGCATGCCCCGGGCCGGGGACTTGCTGCCGGAAGCATCTTCTGTTGCCTCGGGATCAGAAACTTTACGCTCATCTCGGGTTCCTCTATCATGAAGAACCCCTTTCAGACCGTTTGGTTGGGAATATTTTCCGGGAAAGCCCGCACTTTCCTCGTTGAGCTGCGAGTTTGCGGCTGTGATTCCATCTTTCTGCAGAAGGCAGCAAAGAGAATTCACCCTCGACATGAGCGACTTCTCGTCAGACAATGTGGTTAATTGGGTCTCGCTGAACAGGTGCTGAGCAATGTCTCGTATCTCTCGTCGTTCTGATTCATTTCCAGGGGCCGGATCCGATATATATTGCTCGAGGTGATTCATGAAATCGCTCACTGATATAGATTGACGTAATCCGGGTACTTTTATCTGATCCCAATCCCTCGTATTCCTTGAATCAACTGCTTCTGCAGCTCCGTTCCCTTCATTTGCATGAGCGTCTATGACTAGTATAAGTATGATATTAACAAAGCATCGCTTGATTAACTGGACGGGATGAATCACCAGCGAAGAGGGCATAGAAGATTTGCAGTAAGGAACTGCGAGAATGAAAGATTTATCGCGATACCTGAGCTAGGAGATGGTGCATCATGAGAGACGTGTTCAGATGATGACTGATCTGCAACTGGCGATGCTAAACTCTGAGAACCAGAGATAGAATGCCCCTTGCTGAGTTCCGATTGCCCAAAAGTATGACCTTTTGATTCAGCTGGATCCTCGAAAACAGATTGCCATGCCTCGAAGTAGGGGGAATCCAGAATTATCTCCGGTTGTCGGCTAAGATGGAACAGCCGATGATCACATTGAGTAAGCTTCTCGAAATGTTTGTCCAGTAACCCTTGTGGACATTGCAGAAAATGTTGTCTACCAGATCACAAAAGCCACTATCAGTCAGATTGAGATACAAAATACGAAATTCTCTTCTCCAATAACATAGAACAAAAAAAGCAAGAATAATCTTACCTGTGAACGCTGGCTTGGCCATCAGTAAAATCCGAGGCAGCTTGCCATAGAGTATGCTTTCTAGGCTGAGGGTTTGTTTCCCTGAAAAAGAGAGGCTGCCGAGCGAGCTGGACCGAAAGAAGATAAGATTTCAGCCATTTTAGTTACAGTGTGCTTAAAACAGGAAAAGACAAGATAAGCAGACAAAGAAGAAACAGGAGAATGAACTCTAACCACAACAGTCAGTGTTCCAGGTTCATCGTCTGGACAGTTTGCCTTCAAAGCCATAATATTTGACCACTGGATCTCGATTTTGCTCTTAAGACCATGCTGTAACACTTCCCAAACAAGTTTGTGTTTCGCAAAGTAACACTTTGCAATCAAATCACCTTCATACCGAGATTTATACTGCAAGCAAAGGGAATCAAATCAGCAACAGATTCTCAATTTGCTTAGAACATATTCATAACACAATAAGAAACAAAAAAAAATCTTCAGGGGGTTACCTCCCACTGGCCAATCCTTAAAAATGAAGCGGGAAAGTTGGAAGCTTTAAGCTTCTCTGCAGCTCCTAGGGAAGGACCCGCCTCAGAAGAGGCAGATTTACTGTTTTTCTTACCACCTTGAGCGAGTCTCATCTGAATCAAATCCAAGAAAGATGGACTCTTCCTCAAGCTCAGACCCAGAGGACTCGGCTCATCGAGCGGGTTATATTGTGTCGTTTGCAAAGGAAACGCCATTGTGTCAATGCTATATGTCTCCTTCATCGCAAAACCCAATATGAATCAGGAAAAGAAAAGTCCAATCTCCAACACACAAATTGAAATGAAATCCAACAGAGACAACAGACAAGAATCACAAGTTACTGTCAGAACCGACAATCGCATGCCAACACAAAAACCCATGCAGGGAGAAGAAAACGAACCATTCGATCAGCGAAATGCATCTAAACTGGAAGAAACCAAACAGTCAAAAGATTAGGGAAGATTTTTCTGAGAAACCAAATAGATCAGGAGTACCTGATGAAATGAAGGATAAATCTTGGATCGCTTGCTGAGGGCACCGTATTCTTCTTCCAGAAAATCCTCGGCGATCTCCAGCTTCACCGGAAACTCGTCCCGGCACTTGGTCGCCGTTTCGAGCTCCGGTTTCAGATTTCCCGTCGATTTCATCAACTCCATCATCCAATACAGACCCTTCCGAGATTATCCCGAGAAAACCCAGAAATCGGAGAACTTTGACACGGAAAGATTTACGAGAACCGACAAAACCCTAGATTTAGAGACTCGAGAAGAGGGATCTATCGATTTTTTGAAGATCCAAACGCGAAGGGGAAATGAAGATTCTCTGGCGGCTGAGCGAGGCGACGTTCCCACGATTAAGGAGCCACGCCGCAGTCTTTCGTCTCAGGTTAAAAAAAAAAAAATACGAAATTCCCGAAATACGCTCAGGCTATTGCTCTACATAGGAGGGTTATTTCGTCATTTAACATTTGATTTGTATATTAAGTAAACAAGCTGGATGTTGTTTCCGATATTTTGTCGTGGGTCCCACATTGTCCTTTACGACGGCTCCCTTGAGGATCTGACACGTGTCTAGCTTCTAAAACGTGTCTTTTCCTTTTTAGCTTGTCCTTAATAAAGTAGGATATGTTTTTCTCTGGTTATAAAAACCTGGAATCTAATATCATAATGAAAGAAATAACATATTTTGGTACGTTTTAACTAGGGGGATTCAGTTTTATTTTTATTTTTTGGAGATTTTGTGTGTTTTTTAGTTGATTAAACTGAAGGGTTCGAAAAACATATATTGTAAAAAGCCCCTACCAACCAATTATATATAATAAAATATGAATACTGAGATAAAAGAAATATTTGAATCTTCTCGTTGTCTAAGTTAGTCACGTAACATTGCAGTCGCAATTATCTCCTTAAACATTAGAAAAATGAGTTGCAACACATGCAAGCACCTAAAAAAAGGTAATAAATATGTGTGATCAACTTGGTTAATTATCAAACTGATTCGAATAGAATGAATAATTATTTTAAAATAAAAATAAAAAAACTCTATATATATATATATATATATATATATATATCAATATTAAAATACACCCAAAAAATATTTCAACTTTTGAAATTGAAATCAATATTCTATCGATACATCGTTAATATTCAAATATAAAATTATTTTCGATTAAAGGCTGTCAAATTCCATGTATGAAACAACTTTAAACAATTTGAATATATAAACACTAAGTTGATAAATAAATATATAAACACTAAAAAATAAAAAATAAAAAATAAAAAATAAAATCTTATAAAAATAT